AGCTCCTCTTCAGATACTGAAAGGCTGTTATCAGGTCTCCCTAGAGTCTTCTCCAGGCTGCCTAGCTCTCTCAGCCTGTCCTCATAGCGGAGGGGTGCCATCCCTTGAATCATTTTTGTGGCCCTCTTCTGGGTTTGTTCCAACAGGTCTTTGTCTCTCATGGACTGATGATTCCATACCTGGATGCAGGTCTCCAGGTGTGATCTCTCTAGTGCAGAGTAGAGGTGCAGGATCACTACCCTTGCGCTGCTGGCCACACTTCTTTTAGTGTAGCTCAGGATACATTTGGCTTTCTGGGGTGTGAGGGCACACTACTGGCTACTGTCCAGCTTGCCATCCACCAGTGCTTCCAAGCCCTTTTTGGTGGGGCTGTGCTCAATCTTTTTGTCTCACTCCAATTTAAAGGAAAGAGAGGAGGTTCTTTTAATATATGTATACCCGACGGCGAGATTAAGACACAACAGGTCATATGTTAGCTAGACCAGTTTATTACAAATCCTAATTGCTGAAGGATATGGGGAAGGGAAGATGGGCAATAGAAAGGAGATAAGAACAAGGAGTTTTTGCAGAGAGCAAGAGAGAGAGAAGATAGTCACCATCGTGAGTCCAGCTTGGTTTGTAGTCATTTGTGGATCTCAGGAACTCATTCAGTCACCGTGGGGGATGGGAGAGAGCCAAGAAGCTTTGCAGCAGGCAGGCCCTGGGGGATCTCTTCTGAACAGGTTTCTCCCCTCTTTGCCAGTTCTTCTCCAAAGTCCTTAGTTTAGTGATAGCCTTTTATCCCCCATTTCTCAGTTACTCAGTTACTCTCTGTTAGTGTGACAGACCTGGCCAAACAGATAAGCCAGCAGGGAGCGGGTGCCTTCATTGCCATGCACAAGCATTATCGCCTTTTGCACTGGTCAGATCCTTCAAGCCGCAACCCCGAAAAAGGCTGCCCCACTTCTGCTTATCTTTATAATCAGAAGTACTGTGGCACAGTGATACCCAATCACTCACCCCCCTATAGATAATCTGAAAGAGTCAGTTAGACTCTTATCACCAGAAGGGCCTTACAAAGTAAGCTTTGAGACAGAAAAGAGAAACAGTTTTGTCTTTCACACCTTTTCATCCCCCTGTAGAAGTGTACAGTGACTCTGAGGTAGAGCAGCACATCACACTGTATAGGCTTAATGCTTAAATGCATTGCTGGCACCAAACTGGCAGCCAGATGCGAAGATTAAATGAATTCAGTCACCAGTGCACTATGATCACCACCCCTGGCTCAACTTGAGGCCATTACCCCTTCTCCTATGGCTAGTTAGGTGGAAGAAGAGGCAAACCCCCATCTCAGTACCACCTCCTTTCAGGTAGTTGTAGAGGGCAGTAAGGTCTCCCCTGAGCCTCCTCTTCTCTAGACTAAACAATCCCAGTTCTCTCAGCTGTTCCTAGTAAGACTTGTGCTCCAGACCCTTTACCAACTTCACTGCCCTTCTTTGGATATGCTCCAGGACCTCAATGTCTTTCTTGTACTTCAGTCTTCAAAACTGAACACAGTGCTTGAGCTGCACCCTTACCAGTGACAAGTACAGATTGATGAGATGACAAAATTTGAAGTTTGTCAGGTCAGTGTAGCAATGCTGGCTGTACTGTTGTCCGAGGACAGGCCATGGGATTCCCAGAGGTATCTTTCAGTTCTCTGTTGGAGTTCTCTCCCACAAAGCTCTGGATTTACTCTCATGTGTCCCTTTAATGTCTTATGTATTATTATGTGGACACTGCCACTTATAGAACTGGGTTCAAAGTACCTGATTCTTGACTACTCCAGGATCCTTCAGCATCCTTCAGTACCTAACAACAGACTGTCATCTAGCACTGACACTTGTGATCTCCCGTCTCACTGCTTCTCCACAGTAACTGATGACTGACTTACAATCTGGGTATCCTCTGTTCTTGTCACAAAGCTGTTATCTTTTTCTGCACTAATGTCAACTAGACACTCTCCCTGACAAGTGCTGCAAAGACAGGAATGTATGATATTCACTCTTAGATTGAAGAACTCCAATCTGATATTTCAAGAATCTTGAATTACAGTTGTAGTGATCAAGTACTGTGTCTGAGATGTGGCATGGTAACTAACGTAGATGTGGCAATATGGAACAGATTCTTCCAGTCAAAATGATATCTAGCTATAGTCAGCACTCTTCCTCCCTTTCAGTGATTGACATGTTTGTACACTCTAACTGGGAAAACAGCATGTAATTACAAGTAAAGCTAAAGGATGGTAGGAAATAATGCATTTTAGTGCTTTTTGATTGTTCACTTTTTCTTCCTAATGGAGAGGCAAAATAGTACTTTTTTTCTAAATAATTTCAATACAAAAAAAAAAAAAAAAAGTTTTTGCTAATAGTCACTTTGCTTTCTATGTAGTAAGAATATTTCTTTACAAAAATCTTTGGCTTTAGGATTTGGAAGATCATCTGCAAGGGGATTAAATGCAACCTGAAACTCATGGTTTCCTGTAACAGCCAGTTTCATTGCTTTTCTTGTAAAAATTTCCAACTCACCCAGTTTTTTATCTTATTTGCAGTGGCTTGATGCTGAGCAAGAACTGAGAAAAACTTGAATTGTTCAATTTAGAAAATGGTTACATTGTATAAGTAAAAGTTCAGCAAAATGTTAAAGCTAAAATGCTCATTCAATTGGGAATGTTGTTACGACAATTTTTTTGTTTTTTAACCCCCAAAAACACTCACTATCCCATTGTGCTGTGCTGTGACTCTCTTCAAAAGATATGAAGATCAGTGCCATATAAGTTATTTCCATAGATAATTGTAAGCATATTTATAAAAAAATATAAATTCCCTTTTTGCCTTTATTTGCAAAAATAGTTTTCTAACTCTCTAACTCAGTTTATTTACAATGTGGAGAAATTTAGTTTTGTGCACCTACAAGTCACTTTAAAAAATGATTGCATGGGAAAACAGAATTTTTTTCCTGGTCTGTATTACTGGAAGTTGACTGTTCTTGTTAATATTGTTCAGTTAAAATAGACTGATATGTGAATTGTGATGTTGTTCTTCAAATTAAATAATTCCATTTTGGATTTTATGTTGCATTTTCTATAAATGTGCACAAAAAAAGGAATGGAATTTGCTCTTTCACAGTAAATGCATTTATCCTGGGGACACCCATTTTTAATCAGAATTTTAAGCTCTTATTTAATTAGGACTTTTAACATTTCAGTAGTCATCTGTGAAGTCTGGTTTCTTTCTGCATTTAACTTTTGCCAGGTGTGCTGTAAAGAAGTATAGAGGTCAGGCATCATAATGACTTTGAGAGCTTATTGATTTGCTTAAGACAAGTTTGATCGTTAGTTTTCAGTCAGAATATTTCAAAAGCAGTACAATCTCCGATGTACTATAGACATGGGTCACAAAGTTTAAGCCAGTGTTGTTCTCAGCTGGCAAGGTCCTATCTCAGCTTGTCCCTTACCCATGCCAAATTTATATGCCTATTTCCTGCGCAAATTAATTTGCATGCACAGTCAGGAGGAGGGACTGCAGAAACCTGGCTTTAAATCAGGTTAAACTACTTTGGAACACAGCCTTGAAAGGAAGGTCTGTTATTGCAGCTGGTTCAGTAGTCAAGCAAGGAGAATATTGAAGTTTCTAATGAGCTTTTTAGGTGTAGTTGTGCAATAACAAGTTCTTCCTCCTATAAATTAGTATGCCCGCGAGTCATTACATTTTCAGTAATGGCTTTGTTTCAGAAAATATTGTAGGTCTTCTTTTTTTTTTTGGCGGGCGTTCTTTGTTTGGAGGAGATTAAATGATACTTTCTTCCCAGCTACCCATCTGTACTTATACAGTTAAGCGAAAAAAAATCATATTGGTATTCTGAATATTTGCAGACTTTTCATAGGAACTTATTTTAGTGTGGATTATAATACTACTGATCTTTAGTGATACTGGTCCTCAATTTGACAAAATATGCTGGTACTAATATAGATGAATAGGGATTAAGACAAGTCAGATTTTTGGATAGCATTTAGGTTAGAGACTACTATTGTGTTCACTGTAATCCTTCACAGAAGTACACAGGCTTCTGTTTTGAAAGTATTAGGCAATGAAGTAACTGCCTCATCTGGTTCTTATTTATACTGATTAATAACGCACTGCAGTTATTATTATTTTTTTAATCTACTTCCTAATTTTCATTTAATGTTGATTTGCCTTCCAGTCCATTGTATTGCTACTTCTGCCACGCAAAATTGAGAAATCCTGTGGTTCCCTGTATATTCCCTGTAGAGCAAAAGTCTTCCTCAGTTGTCTTTTTGATAATGTTTTTTTTTTAGGGCATTTTCTTTGTCTCTCTTAACTTTTTTATGTTGAATCCAGATTCCAGTTGTTCCTTTTCAAATGTCAATGTCAAAATTCTTGCTGCTTTTCTACTACTTACCTACTTCTGTATGGTTTTGTTGGCAATGAGTTCCTTCTTCTCATAGTTACAACTACACAGGTTGATGTAATGCTTTCTACGGAAGGTTATTTGAGTTCTTTTTCGCTGTGACTCTTTACATGCTTTTTAGAGTCTTTCCAGATTATATCCCTTCATTCTGTAGTCTGTGGGTTTAGCTTTGAATTTCATATAGACTTTTTAATAAAATTTAGGAAGATAGAAAAGGAAAAGATTTGAATGTTGACCGGTTATCTACAAGTGTGGGGAAGACAATGCTTACTGCTGAGTTGTCCCCAAAGTGACAAAATTCAGATACCTAAGTGAGATGTTTCTATGTATGTAAATAAAAGAATGTAAGATAATACTAAGATTAAAAAAACTAGCATTTGCAGTATGCTAGTATGAAAAAAGCCTTTTAGCGAACACCAAAGTTGATACTAGCTGATTTTATGGTCCAAATAGGGTAACAAAACCCCCAAGTTGCTGTGCTATAATAAGTGCCAAAATAATAAAATAAATAGATGCACTAATCTTACAATTTTGCTTTTAATTTTACTCAGAGATCACGATGCAGACATCAGAAGCTGGGTCGGATACAGGTTCAACTGTGACTTTACAGACATCTGTGGCTGGCCAGGCAGCAGTGCCCACGCAGGTAGTACAGCAAGTACCAGTTCAGCAACAGGTAGGTGGCTGTGAGCTTTGAGAAGATTGAAAAAAAATCAGGAGGGGTAGTTCTTCAGTAGTGTAGAACATGATATTGTAGGCTGCTAAATGAACTGTTTTGCTCCGCTTTAATGATTTTATTTTGCTGAAATTAAAATAGCTACCTAGGAAGGCAAGCTGTTTTCTGAGTCTGTTCTTTATGCTAATGCATCCAAAAAGCACTAGTAATACTCCATGTGATTCTGGCAGTAGATTATTGTATACTTCATGGAGTAACTCACAGAAATTAAATTTATATTACTGAATATTTACACTTATGTCTTTACATAATATATTTATGATACTGCTTCTTGTATGATTTCTTCTTTAATTCTCAGTTCCAAGCAAGTGCAATATAAATGTAAAAAATGCATCTCTAGGCTTGATTCACTGCAGATCTTTACACATTGTCATACCTCACGCCTTGTATCATAAAAAACTGTTTTCTTCTATCCAACCTAACCCTTTTTCTTCTAACCTTCTATCCTAACCTAACCCTTTTTCAGGTTGAAACCATTTCTCTTTGTCTTATCACAACAGACCTTGCAAAAGAATCTGTCCTCCTCTTTCTTGTTGCTCCCCATAGATACTGAAGGGCTATTACCAAGTCTACCTGGAGCCTTCTCCAGGCTGAACAGCCCCAGCTCTCTCAGCCCTGTCCTCATAGCGGAGGGGTTCCATCCTTTGAATCATTTTGGTGGCCCTCTTCTGGGTGTGTTCCAACAGGTCTTTGTCGCTCATGGACTGGTAATTCCACACCTGGATGCAGATCTCCAGGTGTGATCTCACCAGCACAGAATAGAGATAAAGGATCACCTCCCTTGCCCTGCTGGCCATGCTTCTTTTAGTGTAGCTCAAGACACATTTGGCTTTCTGGGGTGTGAGGGCACATTGCTGGCTGGTGTCCAGCTTGCCATTCACCAGTGCCCCCAGGCCCTTTTTGGTGGGGCTGTGGCCCATCCTTACATCCCCCAGCTTGTACTGATAGTGGGAGTTGCTGCAACCCAGGTGCAAGACCCTGCACAATGTTGAACCTCATGAGCTTCACCGGGGCCCACTGCTAAAGCCTATCTAGGTCTGGATGGCATCCCATCTGTCAGACATGTCAACCACACCACACAGTTTGGTATCATCTGCAAACTTGCTGAAGGTACAGTCAATCCCCCTGTCGATGTCATTGATGAATTTAATAAAGGGAATTGGTACTGACTCCTGAGGACACCGCTCTTCAAATAATGCTATATATATCTGTGCTGTTTTAGCAAATATAAAATTTTGGCTCAGAATAAGAGGCAACTGCATAAGGATGGAATAAGAGCATTTCCCCTCTACAGCTGTATTTAAGCCTCATGTCTTTTGAGCAAAAGAGTACCTCCTGATATTTTCAACTAAAACAAATCCCTGATTTTCACATAGCTAGTACAAATATGGATCTCATAAAACTCTACTATGGAACTCCAAAACAGAAAAAAATATAAATTCAGTTACTGAAAATCCCAGATTAGATTTTACTCAATACTGCAGTGGTGGTAGTTGGTTTTGTGCAGCACAGAAACAGTCACTGTTGAAGTATGATGGAGGAGATTGGTGACAGGACAAAAATGTATACATGCAAGCAAACAGCATCAAGAGAAGACCAAACTGTTGCGAGTGTAATTGAATTGTCTTAATAGTTGGAGGAATTTTCTCAGTTTGCTTCCTCAAATATGGGGATTTTTCATTAACATATCACTGCTTTTTCAACACGCACTTCACATCTAAATTTGAACAAAGCAGTTATTGTAGTCAACATTCACTGTGGCCATCACCTCATGAAGTAATTGTTTCATTAAACTGGAGATGCAGACTTGTGCTAATCAAAATTAGTCTTCAAGCAAAATCATGCTCAGCATAAGAGAACCATAATCATAGGCTCACAGTAAGCATTACATACCTATGAATGTGCTTAGAATATTACAGCATATGCTATTTATACTTTGTTTGCCAAAAGAATTCCAGACCAATGAGAGTACAAAAATTATTTTTATAGCTAAGGATAGAAAATAATGCATATGTAAGTATTTGCACAGGCACTGTGAATATGGTCTCTTTAAAATGAGGTTTAAAATTCTTCACATGTTTCACTCTGATTTTCTACTCTTTGTTTGCTAGTGCTTTGAACATCTGCACTTCATCAAAATTCTCTCTTGAATTTCCTTTACTCTTAAAAGTATTTTCTGCATTTCAGTATGCTTTTGTTCACTTTCATTTGTTGTCAAATTCTTGTCAAATTTGTTGTCAAATGTGGATATTACATAGTCACTCATTTGTTCCTTTCAGAATTCACAGTTAAGAATATAATTTATTTTTCTGCAACTAGTGATTATAATTGCACGTACATATTGTAATAAGTTTTCTTTTTTTTTTTCTTTTTTTTTGTTCTCTTGGACCATTTCAGCTGCTCACTTCTAATCCCATTCCAGTCATTTGAGGCTAGAATCACTGAAGCAAGGGGAATGAAAGGTCTGCTGTTTGACCTTATTTAACCCATTATTTCCTATGTCAGGCAGTTAATATTCTCTTCTCAAGCTGGACAGTAACATCAATTCCCATGAGTAGATCACTAGTCTACCCCAAGAACATACAATTATTAAAGTTGCGTATGATACTTGGTAATAAATATTTCACAACTCTTTCATTGTTTTGAATCGCTCTGTCATTCTTGTTTTCTGCACTTAATAAAATGTGCAAGAAAAATGATAAATAGAATTATTTTTTTATTTATTTAATTATTGCAGTTTTTATTAACAGTGATGTTTTTTTTTTTCTGTGATGTTTTGTTTCCCCCTAGGTCAATTCTTCTAAAATACTTTTATACCCATGGAGAATATATGCGTATATATATATACAAATATATATGTATGCACTTGATTTCTTCCCTCCTCAAAGATGAAAGAAAAAATAATAATAATCCAAAGGCAGTTAAATTAATTTAACTTTCCTGGAAACATTTTTTCCCAAAATGAAGTAAAATAGGAAATAAAAATGGAATTTAAGTTATTGTATAACAACGATTTTCAGCTCCATAGAACTTCCATACACAAATTTATTCTAAAGGTGACTTACTTGTTGTTCCTTGTCAGGAAAAGTATTTTAAAACTTTAAAAAGGTAGAGAAAGTCATAGGTATATACTCTGCAAAACAGTGTGGTCACTAAAGCTTCCTTTGGCATCAGAGTCAATCAGCTTGAGCAGTACTGAGTTTCAGAGAAACTGAAGCATCCAAGAGTATTACATTCTTATAACAAGAGTATAATAGGTTGTACAGAATGGGAATATGGCCTGCATTTGCTGACATGAAGTATGCAGGTTATGGGGAGGAAATAAATTCCTTTTATTAATAGAACACAGTAGTGTTGTGTTGTTTTTTTTCATAGGGAGTAAGCCACTTTCAGTGCATACGAGCAGGCAGTGAAGTGCTTTTTGGGAGAGGTTGAATGGAAACATTTTAATAATAGCATAATTTCACGTTTCCCCAGCTTTACTACTGGGACAGAAAATGGAACAAATCCATTACATAACAGGTTACAAATTACTGGCTCTATGAACAAAGCCTGCTTAAAGATATTTTCTCCATATATGGGTTAGGAAGATCAGTTCAGTGCCCTGATCACTCTTCCATTAATTACAGGCTATTGTAGAACTAGAGATACTTTTAGAGTTAGGCTTTGAAACCACTGTGATCTGTGGCACGTATGTTTCGCAGTGAAGCACATAAACATTTTGCCTTAGTATTTAGAAATATTCTTACAGCTCTCTTTTTGAAGTGGAGAATTTGTATTTCATGTTTATATATATGCCAATTATGTAATTATGTAATTATATAATGATTTATGTGACAAATCAGAAAGCTGTAACTGCAAATAGATAATTTAAGTATCATACAGTGTGTCAACATTTCTATCATGCTGGTAAAGTTGGTTTCAAAACACTGTTAATTTTCTGAATTCGTATTTTAATACTGAACTAGGAAAAACTTCCTGTGAAAATTTAGATTTTCCTTTCACAATCTGAGTCAATACTATAATAGGCTATGAAATTTATGATTATTTTAAAACTCTTTAGATTATTGTGGAGTTAAGATATTAAAATGAAGATATTCTTAATGAGCTTTGGGAAATGATCCATCAAATGTTTGAGACTCAAATACGTCTGATTATTGCAATTCTCAGGAGCAACTGGGTCATGAAGAAGATGCTACCTAGCAAAACATCTGAGAAAATCAGCAGTCATTTAGTTTACACTAAATCTATTGCATAAACATGCACACTGTCTCTTGCTTTATTCAGTTCCTACTGCAAGGTTTGCTCGTGTATGAAGTCTTTCAGTCATTTTACTTTCTTTAGATTCTGGACTGCACCTGAGCTAAAATACAGCTTATCTCAACAACAGCTCATGTAAAATATGGATTTCTTAATCTCTGCTATAGCAGAAGACAAAAAATTAAGACTGGATAGGAAATATGCATAACCTGAAGCTGCTTTACATAGCATATGAGTCCAAGGAATTGTCCAATGATATGTTTTAACAAGGCAGACATGCTATCTTAGCAATATAGATGAAAATAATAATATCTTATTACTTCTTTTTGTTTATCTCATTAACATTAGAAACAGCTTACCTTGGAATGTGTTGTAGCTGCTGATATTCTGGAAGAAGAGTTACTCAGAATGAGGTTTTTGATTCATTGGCATACCTTTAAGTCAAAACATTAATCGAAAAAGCCTTTTACCACTGTAATTTAACTCCAATTAAACAGATGCGAAAATGTTTTGATCTAAACCTTTATTTCTGAATTTAGTGCAGCACACCATAGCTGTGTGTTTTTGCACGTTAAGCTGTATATTAAAATTTGTATTGTTCAGATTTAAATGGAATAAGGAAAAGCATATGTGTGGACAAAGGATACTTTTTAGTAAATGTAATTCCTTGTTGCAAAGCATAATTATGCTTCATTTTATCCTTTTATGTTTTTTAGTTAGTTCTGTCTTTAGCAGTGAAGTATGCGTGTTGCATGAACGTACATTTTCAATGTTTTTTCTTACTAGATTTAAAATATAACTATTCTGTAAAAACAATATTCTTCTGCATTATTACTATGTCACCAGCTTTAGTAATTTTGAGAACAGTGACGTCCCATATTGTTTAGAAGCCAGGAAATTCACTGAGGCTTTGTTCCTTCCTTTTATCACAGTATATTTATTTTATGATGCTCTTGTTTTCAGGTGCAGCAAGTGCAAACTGTACAGCAAGTACAGCATGTCTACCCAACCCAGGTTCAGTATGTGGAAGGAAGCGACACAGTCTACACTAATGGAGCTATGTAAGTTGGCAAATATTAGCATTTGAATGTTTACTAAAATGTAAAGTTAAATATATATTGTCAGTGAGATTCTTTCAACACCTGTATTTTAAGCTGGAAAGAAAAATGATTGAGTCAAAATTATCATTATTTGAAAGCTAAATTCAGTTTATTAAGATATAAGTGTTGTGTTTTAGTCGGTCTTAAATGAAATTACCTATCCAGCATGGTGCTGCTTGAAGAAGCACCTTTTAGGTCTATGAGTAAGTTTTGCTATTAACTTTATTATAGCATTACCATCTTTGTAAAAAAAAGATCTCTTCCCATAGGCTTTCTGTCTTCTTGGGTGCAGTTCTAGTGGTAAATACATAAAATCCTGCAATGGCTGGATTTTTATTAGCAGAAGCAATAATGTAATTTAATCCCTTTATTTAATAAAACAATAACAATATTTTTTTCCAGAGGAATAGGAGAGGCAGAGGAAGGAGGGTAAACTATTTTTTTTGCTGATTCTTAAGCCTTTTTTTCTGGCTATTACTGTATGTTTCCTTTTCACCTAAGCATGCTTTTCCACCATCAAGTTATTTTCACCAACATTCAAGTTCAGATACATAGAATGAATAATCTGTGGGACCATTGGAGGTCTTCTAATTTCATCCCTGGCTTGAAGCAGTACAACATGAGTCAACAGTGTGTGCTTGAAGCCCAGAAGGTTAATTTTATCCTGGGTTGCACTGAAAGAGGGGAGGCCAGCAGGATGAGGGAGGTCATTGTCTCCCTCTTCTCTGCCCATCTGGAGTACTGCACTCAGCCCTGGGGCCTCCAACACAGAAATGATGTGGAGGTGTTTTAATGGTCCAGATGAGGCCCATGAGGATGATCAGAGGGCTGGAGATCCTCTCCTCGGAAGGAAAGTTGAAGGAAATGGGCTTGTTTAGCATAAAGGAGGCTCAGGGAAGATCTCATTGCTGCCTTCCAGTTCTTAAGAGATGATAATCAGAATCTGACTTTTTACACATTGTGACAGTGATAGAATAAGGAGGAATGGTTTTAAAGAGGAAAGATAAAGATCAGTTGTTAAGAAGAAATTTTTCACCCAGTGAATGGTGAGAGATTGGAACAGGTTACCCAAAGAAGCTATAGATGTCCCATCCCTTTAGGTGTTTAAGGCCAGATTGAATGGGACCTGGGCAGCCTGATCTGGTGGGTGGCAAACCTGCTCATGTCAAGGGAGTTAGAACTGGATGATCTTTAAGGTCTCCTCCCACCTAAGTCATTGAAACACATATCTAAGAAAAATACAAGATGAGTGGGTGGCTGAGAAAAATAAGTCTTACAAACTATGAATGGATAAACAGCGCTAACATACTGTTTGCATACAGGAGGCTTTACATTTATATTGATGCTTCTGATACAGCTGCTAACCATTTCTTCTCTAAACTGTGCTTCAAAAATAGAAATAGGAACTTGATTCTATAACGTAGCTTATACTTCTTTAATGAGTGAATTATTTTTAAGTGATGATTGTCATGTATCTGAAAGTGTTACCATTTGTTTTCCATGAATTAAAGATAAATATTTTCCAATACTAGCAAGCTTTCATTAAGTTAATATTTAATGTGGAAAATTTTTCTGAAAAAAGAATTGATGCCGACATTTCCTCTTTCCTCGATGACAAAGGGTAATTTGAAAACTAATTATGAATATTATATGGTGGACCCTTTTATGTTATGCTGAGTGTCATTGCCTCAGTAAGCATCTTCCCCTGAAATTAATAAACCCTCAGAGGATGAAGTAATTATGGTCCTTCATAAGAATTTTTATAAAGAATGAATCCTCTACATTGTTGTCCCTGTTTAAACAGAAGAGTTCAAACTTCTAGAATATCCAGTTCTGGATTTGAAGTAGTCCATGGTCTCCAGCTTGTCCCAGATATAGCACATAGGGGTTGTCAGCATTTGTTGTTCTGTGTGTAGTCTGTAGCTTTCCATTTGCAACTAGTACATGCAAGCTTCTCTTGTCATTTAGCACTTGTAAGTTCTCATGTGAGCTGTTAGCAAGCTCACTTCTCGCAATATGAGTTGGGTACTACGTGACTGCTTACAGTCCTTAATAAAAAGAGAACCAATATTACTTGTTACTGTTAGAATAAATCTACAGTAATCCATGTTTTTTTTGTGTTTCTGTATGTGAAAATATTTGTTAGTTTCTGTAGAACCCGTTAATGGGATATAGCACTTAGCTAGTGATCACTTAACAAGTGAGCCTAATCCAGATTGTCTTTTCCTCATATAAAAGGAGAATTTACCAATGATAAAATTTATTTTTCAAAATTTTTAGGAACATTAACCTTTCTGGAGATTTATTTTTCCATTGAGAATGTAACTGATCTTTGTTTTTACTCAGAATTCGTAAAGGCTGTCTTGTGAAATTAATTTTCCTTTATAATTCCATACTTCAGATTAAGAATGGCAAATGTTACTTCTGTAAATGGAAGTTACTGAACTTATGCACAAAATGTTATGAAGGAACAGGGTTCTGGGTTACCACTGGCTAACTTCCTTAACAGAATAGAGAATTGGTTTTCTATTTGCCGTTTTTATGATTACCTAAGTTACATGGTTTAAAAAATATGTACTTTTTTCTTGTTTTGCCACTGAATTTGTTTGTTTAGAGCTACATCAATGTGGGATTGACATTTTAAAACTTCTGAAAATCTCACAACATCCCTAAACAAAGCTGACACAGCTGTGTTGAGTTCTGCTGTGACAGAAAACACAGAGGCCAACCTCTCATGCTAAAAATATTTAGGCAAGTGTTTAGACTGCAGTACATCTTTTTCTATCCATCCTACTGAAATGTGTGAACAATAAGCTTTTTGGATTCTGACAAATTCATATAACTATGTTAAAGCCAATTTGTCAACATACTCCTACTCTGAAATGTCTGTTGCACTTTAAGCAAACAGTTAGGTTTGTAGATTATGTGATTGACAGGAGTGATCACTACTTTGTCTTTTGGGTTGTTTTTCTATGATTATATATTTGATTTATTTTATGACTATGCTAAATCAAAATCTGAATTGTAACTCAAATCAGACAAAGGATATATTGCATAATCTACTCTCATGATCTCATGATCTCATGATGAAACTCATGATCTGCAACTCATAGTTAAGGTGAAAACATTAATTAAGTGTACAGTTTTACTGGAATAAAAGTTCCAGTATGTCTGATGAGTTTCCCTTTGTTACAAAATAAAGTACATATAAACTAGCATGAACCCATATACAGTAGCAACAAAGGATGCACTTTAAATATTTAGAAAGAATGCCTGAATCAGTTACCTGATTCTTTATTCTAATGGAAGGAAGTTTGTTGGGTTTCACTTAATGTTATTTGGTTTTATTGTATTTGTGGGGATAATGATGTTGCAGGGGTTGTACTGTGAAGCTTATCACATACTTGAGAATATTTGATGTTATCTACAGTTGTTTATGGTTAATAACACATTTGCTTGTCATGCACGTCACTTTACCTTGAAGCTAAAATGAATTGTTGTTGCATTAATATGTGCAGGTTTGTCTGAGTAGATATGGATAAAAAATACTGTGGTTGCGCCTGTATTAAGAAGCCAAGCAAGGCCCCTGATCTAGACAAGAACTTTTTCTTACTTAAACTGTAGTGTTTAATAATGTACGTAATGTGATTAGTCTCAAAATTGATATTTTTTCTACTAATTCTTGTGTAACAAAGAGAGTTTAGTTGTTGAGACTGCCTAAGAATTGATGCTGTTGAAACTGTAGCCTTTATTCCTCACATTATTCACTAATTTATGGTACTATGATTTGTATAGCTAATGTGGACCAAACACACCTTTGATGCAAAACCAACAATTTACTGTTTCTCTAGTTGAAGTCTTTTATCTGTCTGATAGAAGGGTTATTATGAGTACAGTTCAAATTGTTCTGTTCCTGGAATCTTTCCAGTATTTGTTAGCATCTTTTCCTTTTTCTCTGATGTTATGCTTACCATTAAACTAACCCTATGCGTACTCACGTCAATGGCTTCCATGTAAGGAAAAATTATAGCAAGTTATCACTGTCACAGTTCTATGCCTAGAGAGGTATGATCAATGATGGAGTTTTTCTACTTATACTAGATACTCTCACAGCAATTCTGTATGTGTTTTCTACAGGAAAGACAGTCATTCTTCTGCGGTTTCCATTTCTGGTTTGCATCTTAATTTACCAGATATTATGTGTTTTACATTTGCTGAATACAGTCATCTCATACACATAGTGTTCTTTGCTGTATTTTGATTCTACGGTCATGGATTGTTTATTCTACACAGAACAGCTATTTTATGCTACTGCCTATTATTTAGAGAAATGCATCAGTGCTGGCATAACAATAGTTTCTAAGCTAAAATAAAACTGAAATAGGTTACATAGCGTTTCCCAGATTATAAATGTTACAGCTAAGTTAGAACAAAGGTCTAGGCCAGCATAGATATGTCCAGACAGAAGATGTCTGACAAGCCAAAGTCTTGAGGTCTAGTATATTTAGTACAAACCCTCTTCCTAACATTGGCAACACCATATTTCTTGGATTCTAGGACAGTTGTACTTCACCACCAGAATTTTTAGATGACTGCAACTAACAGCCCTTATCTTTCTAAATTACTGATCATGAGAATGCCACTTGCAAGAATTCTCCAATGTTTTCACTTACTTCATTCTCTGGTTTATAGATTTTCCTACAGTTGTGCATTGTGTGCACTTTTATGATTTTATTTTCATGCGGAAAAAGATCTTGGACTGACTGTGGAAGATCTCAATAATTGGTAATCAGCGTCTGTCAGTAACATATTTACATTTTGATTGTGACTGCAAAACTATCAATGAGTAAGAACTAATGTGAAGTTCCTTATGTTGAATAATACAGCTCTATTTTAAGTAAATTTTATAAAGCTGAATCTATCTGATATATTTTAAATTTCCAAATACATAAAAAATATAT